TGCAACCTCCACCTTCCAGGTTCAAGTGATTTTCCTGCCTCAGGCTCCCAAGTAGCTGGGATTACAGGGCTAATGTTTGTAGAGATGGGGTTTTACCATGCTGGCCAGGCTGCAAACTCCTGACCTCAGGTGATCAGCCCACCTTGGCCTCCCAAAGTGCTGGAATTACAGGCACGAGCCACCATGCCCACCCAGTGTATTCTTAAACATTACTGTTGAGCCATAGATAGGACAATGGTGGACTTTGAATATTTGCACATCTATAGTAAAATGCAGTGCTACCTTCATTTTTTGTTGGTATGCTAAAGAAACTTTTTAAAGTATCTCACTTAAAAAATTGGTTTGTGTATTTTATGTGCTTATACATTTTTCCATAGTACTGTAGATCATTTTAGTGATTAAATTTGACACTTTTGACAGAAAAACAGGTCAGTGAGTTCCTTGGGATCAAAAAGGTGTTGATTGCAAATGGACAGGAGAAAATCGTTAGAGTGATTCTACAGCTGTTCTGCATCTTGATTATGGTATGACTATGCATTTGTCAAATCTTTTTTTTTTTTCTTTTTCTTTTTTCTTTTTTTTTTTAAAGACGGGGTTTCACCATGTTGGTTAGGCTGGTCTTGAACTCCCAACCTCAGGTGATGGGCCCACCTTGGCCTCCAAAATGCTTGGATTACAGGCATGAGCCACCACACCCAGCCGCACTTGTCAAATCTTAACAGGATGAATTTTACTGAATGTAAAATCATACTTCAATAGACATGACTTTATAAAAACTTTAAAAAAAAAGACTTTTATGGGAACCAACTTTTTTTCATTTAACGTGTTAACATGTGTAAAACTTGGACACTGTTCTTAAGGAGCCACAATCTTCCTCTAAAATTATTAATGGGCCAGGTGCGGTGGCTCACACCTGTAATCTCAACACTTTGGGAGGCTGAGGTGGGCAGATCGCTTGAGCTAAAAATACAAAAATTAGTCTGGCATGGTGTTGCTGTGTCTGTAGTCCCAGCTACTCCGGGGGCTGAGGTGGGACGACTGCTTGAGGCCAGGAGGTGGAGGTTACAGTGAGTCCAGATCATGCCACTGCACTCCAGCCTGGGCAATAGAGGGAGACTCTGTTTCAGTTTAAAAAAAAGAAAATGTGCCTTGGTTGGAAAGTACCAGGTGATGCCTAACACTGAGTGTAAGTGCTCTGTTTTCTTTTTTTATTTTTTATTCATTTATTTTTTTTTTAAGATGGGGTTTCACCATGATGGCCAGGCTGGTCTTGAACTCCTGACTCCAGGTGATCCACTCACCTCGGCCTCCCAAAGTGCTAGGATTAGAGGCGTGAGCCACTGCGCCCAGCCTGTTTTCTTTCTTTCTTTTTTTTTTTTTTTTTTAATTATTTTAAAATCTTTGAGTGCTGTTTTCTTTGCCACTTTTGCCACCAGAGGGCACCAATCAGTCAAGTCAATCTACATACTATTAGGAAACTATGAGAAAGCTGTAGGAAGCTGTTTCTGGCACTCATTCTTTTAACAAACATGTTTTGAGCACTTAATATGTGCCAAACATTGGAGTAGCTGGTATAGTGTTTTGGAATTTATAGTCTTGAGCACCTACTATGTGCCTGAGAGAAAACAGACATGGGGATAGAAGGTAGGGTTCATTTGTAATTTTGTGATTACTCATTGTCTTCCTGTCCTTGGCCATGAGTCTCTTGAGAACAATTGCTTAGTGTCTACTTTGTGTCAGATGGTGTGCCTGTTGCTGAGGATTCAGGGATAAATAAGACACAGTGGCAGTCTACTAATAAACAATGTCTTACTGGCTAGAATAAAAACACATGAGCTAGCTCTGTGGAATTCCAGTTCCTGTGACCTAAAAATAAAGACCCTTGAATTATGAAACTCATTAACACGTTGAGCTGCGAACCTCCCAGCATAGTGGCATGCCCGCAATGGATGCTTAGTGAGTCTGTGAGTTGATATGAGCCTAGGAGGCTGCTTCTGGTCTGGGTGCCAGGTATACATTCCAGTGGATTAGACTAGGGCTTCATCATCCTTCAGGTCAGGGTGGGGCTGTGATGAGTTTTCGTGGCCGAAATGCTTTGAAGATGATGTTTCTGCCTGTTTATCTGCTCACAGCCTTGCGATTAAAGGTGTCAACATCATCTTTCACATTTCCAGGTCAGCAATCCTCTTGTCCCTAAATTGACTGGTACTGGAGGGAAAGCCAGATGGGACATAAACCATCATTTTGATATGAGGGGTTGCATTCACTAGGATACTCCCTCTTCTCTGAGGGGAGCTTTAATTCCAGTAGAGCTCAGTCTCAAGACCTGGACAGTAGGGTTGGCAGCTAGAAAAGGATGTTTTAAAACACTGAGACCTCATCTACAAGAAGAAAAAAAGGCCAAAAAAAGAACGGGGCGGGGGTGTCTTAAGTGTGGATGCTGTAGAGTGACTCCCTTCCAAAGAGTACAGTATAGAAAATGGGAAGGGAGGGGCAGAGTAAGTTTACAGTAGAGAGACTTGACACACTTCCTCATCCAGGCGATCAAGGTCAACATCAACATTGCTATGTTGCTATTTGTGCCCTTAATGTGATGTGATGAAATGGCATTTTACCTCTGTGATCAAAACTTATAATGGCAGTCTAATCATGAGAAAAGCATCACAATCGCAATTGAGGGACAGTCTACAAAATACTTGACCAGTATTTTTCAAAACTGTTAAGGTCATCAAAACAAAGTCTAAGAAACTCTTACAGTCAAGAGGAATCTAAGAAAACAGGAAAACTGAATGTAGTCTTGTATCCTGGATGAGATCCTGGAACAATGAAAGGTCATTAGGTAAAAATTAAGGAAGTATGAACTTCAGTTAATAGTAATGTATTAATATTAGCTCATTAATTGTAATACATATGCTCTACTAATGTAAGATGTTAATAAAATGGGGAACTGGGTGCCAGGTGTAGGGGAACTCTACTATCTTCAATTTTTCTATAAATCTAAAACTGTCATTGGCTGGGCACGGTGGCTCATGCCAGTACTCCCAACACTTTGGGAGGCCGAGGTGGGTGGATCACGTGAGGTCAGGGGTTGGAGACCAGCCTGGCCAACATGGTGAAATCTTGTCTCTACTAAAAATACAAAAATTAGCCGGGTGTGGTGGCGCATGCCTGTAGTCCCAGCTACTTGGGAGGCTGAGGCAGAAGACTCGCTTGAACCCAGGAGGCAGAAGTTACAGTGAGCTGAGATCATGCCACTGCACTCCAGCCTGGGTGACAGAAAGAGACTCTGTCTCAAAAAAAAAAGAAGGATGAGCCTTGGCAACATCAAGACCCCTCCTTTACAATAAAATTAAAATTAAAAAATTAGGCATGGTGACATGCACCTGTGGTTCTGCTACTTGGGAGACTGAGGTTAAAGGATGGCTTGAGCCCAGGAGGTTGCTGCTAGAGTGAGCTATAGTCACTCTACTGTACTCCAGCCTGGGGAACAGAGTGAGACCCTGTCTCAATAAAAGGTAGGGTAGTGGTGGTATCCAGAATACAGCTATGCCTTAAAGTTTTTTCTTTCTTCCAAGTTCCTGTTTATAAATCAGTCACTATGCTAAGTGCTTTACATACATTTAATCATTACAATAGCTTGTGTTGGGTATAATTAATCTCCTTTTACAGCAGCTGATGAAACAGGTGGGTGTGGTGGCATGCACCTGTAGTCCTACTTGGGAGGCTGAGGTGGGAGAATCGTTTGAACCTGAGAGGCAGAGGTTGCGTGAGCCGTGAGCACGCTACTGAGCTGTGGCCTGGGTGATTAAGCCAGACCCTGTCTCAAACAAAACAAAACAACAACAAAAAAAAACTGATGAGACAGGGAGAAGTAATGTGTGGAACCAGGGTTGGAACCAAGATCTGTCTGATTCCGAAATTGTGTGTGTAGACCTTTCACAGTATTCTGGCTTTTCTAGGAAATGGTTTTTAAGCAGTTATCCTAGAACATGCCTTCCTAAGAGAAAGGAGTACTGTATTCTAAACCATGGGGACCAAAGACTTCCCACATCTCACTTTGGTTATGATTATCTCTAAAGTCCCTCAGTTCCAGGGTGGACATTGAAGCCAAAAGGACCTCTAAGGGGTCAAAGTTCAACCACAGTAGTTTATTTTACAAATGGGGAAGGCGAAGGGCAGCCTGAGCACTTGCCCCAAATCACAGTGAGAAGGGCTAGAGATCCAGTTTGTTATTGTCTCTTTTTCCTCACAACTTCCTCTTTGTAGTTAAGAAGGGAAGCAGAAGCTGACCTTTCTGTCTTCCCCTGTTTCTCACGTGGAACTGCCGCACCCAGGGTGGGTAACGCGTCCAAGGGCACACTTGCCCGTGGGCTGGCCTGCGCGAAGGTCTGTTCTCACCGATAAGACCCACATTCTCAGCACATCCTAATCAAGTAGCTACTAAGTGGAGGGACCGCAGACTGGGTGTCACGGGGAGGGGCCTGTAGCGACCAGGGCCAGTCCCAGGATGGCTGTGGAGGTCCCTGGATCCAAGGGGGAAGGGCGCCGAGAGCCGGGGGATCTGGGTTCCTTTCCGGGACACGCCTTTGAAACTGCGGCGTCCAGCCGTACAACAGTCACTCTGGGACCACAGCGACCCCTGCGCCCACCCTCAGGCCCCGCTGCCTTTCGGCTTTTTATAGGCGGGGGGACACGCGTCAGCGTCACAAAGCACCGCGACCGCGCGGGAGGCCAAAAGGAGGCGTGGAAGCGGGAGAAGGAGGAGGAGGAGGTGGTGGAGGAGGGCGAAGACCGGGAGGCGGGGGAGGGAGGGAGGGGCGCGCGCACGCGCGTCGGGCCGCCAGCCGCCGAGAGCCGCCCCCCTCCCGGCGTGCGCCCCTCCTCCCTCTCTCTCTCTCTCTTTCCCTCCCTCCCTCCCTGCTTCTCGGCTCCGTCGCTCCCGCGGCGCGAGGCGCTCTAGCTTTCCTCCTCCGCCGCCGCCCCTCCCCCCGCGCAGCCGCCGCCGCCACCGCCGCCACCGCCGCGAGACCCCCTCACGCCGCGCTCGCCCAGCGCGCCCTCCGGCCCCTGCGGCCCTCAAAGAGAACGAGAGGGCGAGCGAGCGCGGCGTTCCCGGGCTGGCCCGGCCCCCTCCCTTCACCATCGCCGGCCCTCCGCCGCCTTCCTCCGCTTCCACCTCCTCTCCCCCCCCCCAAGTTGAGGCCCCCTCCGGGGGGGGGAGGCCCGGGAACGGGACCGGGAGCGAATTCTAACTCCTTCGACCCCTCCTCTCGCCTGGCCTAAGTGTGAGGGGAAGGGCCCGGCCCGGCCAGCGTCGTGTGTGAGGACGACCCCGGGAGGGCCCACGGGCCGTGTAGGGCCTGGTCCGGCCCACCGGGTGTGTGAAGACCGGGGCCCGGTGCGGCCGGGCCCGAGGGCGAGCAGAGGGGAAGGGCCTGGTTCGGCCCGGCCGGTGCGTGAGGACTGGGGCCCGGGCCTGGCGCCGCCGCCGCCGCCGAGATGGCCCAGCAGCAGATGACCAGCTCGCAGAAGGCCCTGATGCTCGAGCTGAAATCCCTGCAGGAGGAACCGGTGGAGGGCTTCCGGATCACCCTGGTGGATGAGTCCGACCTCTACAACTGGGAGGTGGCCATCTTCGGGCCCCCCAACACCCTCTACGAAGGCGGCTACTTCAAGGTACCCCCCCTCCCGGATCCGGCCTCCGCGGCCGAGGCCTCCGCTCTCCGCAGCTTTTGGCCGCTCCTGGGGCCAGGAGTGTGAGCACGGGCGAGTGGAGGGGGCTCCTCACCTCGGCAGCCCCCTCCCCCATCCGTGGGGGCAGGAAGGCCTTGCTCGCCGAGTGCCTTTTCTTTGTCATGGGGGCGGGGGCGGGGGCGCGGGCGGGGGCGGGAGGGCCGGCTGCACCGGGAAATGGGAGAGCCTCTCTGGTTAGGGTAGTGGCTACGGGCGGAGGAGGCCGTCTTTGTTTCTCCGGCTGAGGGTGGGTGGAAAGAGCGGTGGTCTGTCTGTGCTTTCTCGTCCTCCCATCGCAACCCTCCCTGCGCAGGCTGGAACTGCCCCAGAGGGCAGGGTGACCTGCACCGACTGGATTGGACTTTTCTTTTTTTGGGGGGTGGGGGTG